CAATAGATATTTCAGCTGTTGCTGAAAGGTTACTTGCATAGCCTGATTATATGTCATGGCCTGGATATGGCCACCTCGACCAAGCCATACTCTGTGCCACTGTTCCATTATACTGATGATAATATGTTACTGTCTCAGTTCGTTGGAGATTTGGAATTCACCACACACAGTATGAAGGAATCTTTGCTGGTCTGGGGGTGGGCTGTCAACAGAAACAAGATCCAGGGACCTGGCCTGTCTGTCAAATTCTTGGATATTGTCTAGTCAGGTAAGGCAAAAGCAGTTCCCAATGCCATTATTGATAAGATACCAGAAAAGAGTGACATGGGACTGGACAGATACAGTGGAGGCTGCTTTTCAGGACTCGAAGAGGGCAGTAGACAGGTGCAAGCCCTTTGAGTCATTGACCCTACTCTGCTATTTACCGTGGAGTCAGTGTAGATGATATTGCGTTTGGCTGGGGCTTATGGCAAAGCCAAGAGAAACAGAAACACTCTATTGGATTTTGGTCACAGTTCTGGAAAGGAGCCAATAACCAGTATTTTCTGAGCAAGAAACAGCAGCAGTACAAGCTACTTTGCATGCCTGTGAAAGTATCACAGGGCAGCACACCATGGAAGTACAGACCAAATACCCATTTGAAGGCTGGGTCTGTACATAGATGTCCCGTCCCAAGTTGGATGGCCCAGGCCCCCACCCTCATGTAATGGGGGACATATTTACAGCAGCAGGCATCATTTTTATCCAGCCTGTTGGCAGCTGAACTACAATGGTATTAAGAGCAGTGACATATATGACACATGAAACTGAACAAGATAATGGATTACAGGTTAAGTAGAAGGGAAAGAGGGACCTCTGGCTGGTGCCTGGTACACCGATGGGTCCAGCCATGGCACAACCCCACAATACTTGGCAATCACTTTCAAGCCTAGTATGGAAACCCTCTGGTTTGAAACCAAAGCAAACAGGTTGAGCCAATGGGCAAAGTTGCGGGCAGTGTGTTAACTTGAGGTACATGAAGAAGGTCCCCAACACGTTTGCACAGTTGGGTCTTTTTGAAGGCTGACACTCGCTACTGGCTTGGGCAGCTCAGGAATGGCAGAGAGGGCACCGACCCTTGTAGAGTGCTGACTTATGGCAAGATTTATGGGCCCGTGGCCAAACACTAACCATGATAATGCATCATTTTAGGACATAAGCCCCACTTCTCACTGAGGAATGACTCAGCAGCTGCCTTGCCAAGGCATTGCAGTAGCTGACTGCTGCATATAGGATGCGGCTGGCAATAGTGTTTGACCAGAAAACCCATTTCACAGGGACCCAGGTACAACAGTGGGCCACTCACAAGAAGCGACATCCCCCTGACCTTTGAGGGCTTGCATTGTGGGGAACCACAGCAGATTGTGTCAGAGGTCAGAGGTCTGAGGACATAGAAGGAAGTCACCCAGCTGTTCAGTGCAGGCGCACACAACTTACACTTATATAAGTATGACTTAGCAAGACAACTGTGCGTGTGCTAGATAGTCACGACAGGACACAAGAATATAAACTTGACAATGGCTAATATATACAAGCAGGACAATAAAAATGCTACTGTTTGCTGCTGTTGTTAATATGGGTTCCATGTGCTTTCTCTGAGGATCTCACCTGAGAAACTATCACTTCAGCACCCTCGCTCCATGCTGCTTCAAAAGTGCAGTGTTTGGGTTGTGATAAAATGGGGCATATTCATAAACAATGTGGCCAAAAAGAATTGTGGCCATCCCTCCCTTGGAGAGGAGGGTATTGGACCTCTGTCTTAGGTGTCAAAAAGGAAATCGTTAGGCTAATCAATGTTCTAAAAAATCACAAAGATGACACCCCACTGATAGGAACCAGGAGATGGACTAAGCCCCAGGCCCAACAAATGATGAAGATGAATTCTAGGACAGGCTTACAGCCCCAAGCCTCAGTGGGTCTCTGGAGGATGTACAGTCCCTTATCACCAAAGCCTCAGGAAGTGTTAGATTAGATCTTCCCACTTATGAATGACCTTGATTGGCAGAGCTAAAACTGTTGCAATCTCCATGGGAATCTGAGGACCTCTTCCCTTAGGAATTATGGGTTTCGTTTTAGGAAAAAACAAGGTGTTGAAGTACTCCCTGGGATTATTGATTCAGACTATTTGGGGGAAATTCAGTTGCATTATGTCTGGGTTATAAAAAAAGGAGATTGTATCACCTGCTTGATTCTTTTACCTGTTGTCAAGGTTGCAGCTGCTGATCAAGAATAGATTTGCAGGAATGAGTAATCTGGTGGTCCCTCCCATGAGGAAGTGCTTGCTATTCAGGATGTCATAGACCAGCAACCTGTGTTAGTATTGTTGAAATTAAGGAAAATTAATTAGTATTAATATGTGATTAATTAGTATGCGATTTAAAGGAATCTGAGTATGTCAGAACTGTTGAAATCAAAGGAAAATAATGTGAGCATATCTGTGTTGTTGAAATTGAGGGGAAGTATTTTCAGGGATCGATGGAAACTGGTGTAGATCATCACAAGGGATAAGGGACTTTTCCAAGAGGAATGACGGGTGGCCCCAACCTGTGTCATTGTTGTTAAAATTAAGGGAAAACATTTGGAAGGATAGAACATATTTTGTTGGAGGAAATTCCCTCAATCCTACATGATGTGTCCTGTGGATGACATATTTTTTGCCACTGATTCTCGCAGCAGTTTTCCTTTTGTAGAAACTGAACAAGATTTGATATATCACGAATTATGCATAGACCCAGAGAAAATTTAAACTAGTTCATGTGATTGTTTGGGAATCCTGCTGGTGTGGGGGCAGATTTTGTTGAGTCAATGGATGGTGTGGCTACCCATGGAGGAGTGTGACTTTGGTTTCCTCACCAGTGAGAGCCTTCGCCCAGAGGACAATTGAAGAGAACTATCTAGGAGTCAGAAAAACTTGTCCAGCATTGAGAGCTGTCTGGCCAGGTGCTTTGGATGGAGCCTCTGGGGATGACTCTGTCCATCAACAACTACAACCCTCTTCAGCCAGAAGAGGCCAGACACTGTTCTTCGTTGCACCTCACAGCAATTAGGGGTACTTTCTTAGAGGAGGACTGTGGGGTTGGTACGGGCAGCTAGACAAGACTGTGCTGGGCTGCGCAGTACAGATACCTTGCAGGTGTAGGTGAAGATACAGTCTGTAGAGGCTAGATCTCAGGACAAAGGATAGAATGTCTGCGCCTCTAATACTTCCTCTAGTGATGGCCAGCAGTGATTGATATCTGAATGTTGTTTTTGTAAAAACCAAAAAGAAAGATGTGGGAGATGACATGAGAATTGGTCTTCTCCACGAGCACAAGGGAAAAAGTTAATACGGATGAGATCAGGTTGTTTACTTGGACTTGTACTAATGGATAATGTGTGCTGAAGAATCTCGCGTTACTTTGATTGCTTGTACCCATGTTTGAGTGACCATAAGCAGGATGAGCCAGTGCTCAGGGCTCCTCTGCTCATGAGGTAAGAGCCTCCTGGCTGCCCCGCAGGTTAAACTGACTCTGGGCAGTATGTCTTTCATGCTCATTCACTCTCAGGTCAGGGGAATAAATCTGTAGGGCTGGGTTCCCTATAGCCTACTATTTACCTTGGTTAGCTTTCCATTGCTATACCTGAGATAAAAAGCTGAAAATGAGGAAAAGCTTATTTTGCCTCATGAAATTTCAGTTCGTGGCTGGTTGACCACATTGCTTTTGAGTCTGTGGCAAGGCAGTACATCAAAGTGATTGTATATGGTGGGGGAAGCCAGTTCATTTTATGACCAGAAATGAAAGAGATAAAGGAAGAGGTCAAGGTTCTCAGTCTCTGTCAAGGCCATGCTTCTAGTGACCCAAGAAGGTTCCACCACATCCCCAAGAATGCCCTTGGGCGGCTACAAAGCCTTTAATACAGGGCCTTTAGGGCACATTCCCAAGACTAACTATAGTACTAATTTTGTTTCCAAAAGCATTTTGCATTTGGCTGTTTCTCATCTTGCAGACACACCTCCTTTCCCTTGGTTTATGCAATTTTTTTCTAGCTGAACTGGTTTTGCTTATCTTTGCCCATGAAATCCTATGCATGATTCAAGGCTCAGCTTCAGGGCTATTTGCTGTAGAAGCTCTTTTTTGGTGTTTTGGAGAAAATTTAAGGGCTTTAGTCCACCTTTTGCCGTTGGGCATGTCTGAGCCTACAAACCTATCCTAAGCTATTTTTTTCACTAGTTTTAAACCCCTCAGAGTAGTCTGTGGCCTCCACTTACAATAGTGAGCACAGAAGTAAACTGCATATTTTGAAGACCCCCCAAAACTGAAAAATTAAGGTGTCTTCGTCTACCTACCATTGGCATTTCATGCTTTAGGAAAATAGAAGATAGGTTTTAGCTCGTTTAAAGTTAGTATAACTGTGCACAGTTGAAAAGTAATTTTTCTAGACGTGTGTCAAAAATGTTTGCTGAAGACCTTAACGTTGCAGTCTGCCTTTCAACACGTACATCTGCAGTGTGCCAAATACCCAGATCGTATAAGAAGGCAGAAACTGAAGGTCTCTAGTAAAGTCTCTAATCTTTCGGATTTTCTTGTTAAGTAGGTAAGTGGCATAAGGTATCGTGTAATTAGTGCCAAGAGGCAAACGCCAAAAATCAAACACAACCCAAGAGACAATATTAACTTTGGTCGTGAGGCTGTTGGCAAGTGAGGCTCAAGACCCACTGCTGCTGATCCACCCAGCAGACTCCCTGGAGGCGACGCCCCCTTCTGTTCAAACTGCGGCCGGTGCGCACCTAGGTGGGCCGGGTGGGGCTAGGCGGAGGCGGGTAGGGTGGGAGGCACAGCTGGTGCAGCCCCCGCCTCCCACTGGTTCTAGAGGCTCTGGGCCGACCCGCCTCCGCTCTCCGACGCCCAATCACCTGCAGCCTCCGGGGACACGTTCCGTCGGCAGCCACGCCCCCAGCCGACCCGGCGTGGGGGCGCCTTTAAGAAGCCACACGGGCGACGGGCTCGAGCTAGGGCGCGCGACAGCGGACGGCGAGGCCTGTGTGCGCCGCCCTCTCGGCTCTCCTGTCAGGAGCTCGGCTCTCCTGTCAGGGGCTCCGCAGCCCTCGCCTCGGCTTCCCCGTCACCCGCGCGCTCTCTCGCCTCTCCTCAGCCCGCCGGCCGGGAACTCGCGCGCTCGGCTCCCGAGGGGTTGGGCCATGGGGCCCTCCCGGGAGCAGCCCGGCGCCGCGCGGGGAACTAGCGAGGCACCGCCGCCCGGGCCCGCGCCCGTGGGGGACGCCACGCTGCCCAGACCAGGACCCTCGAACGACTCCGAGGCGACTGCCGAGAAGGTGGAGGTGGAACTGGCGGGGCCAGAAGCGCGGGAGCCCCCCGAGGGCGGCTGGGGCTGGCTGGTGATGTTGGCGGCTATGTGGTGCAACGGGTCGGTGTTCGGCATCCAGAACGCCTGTGGGCTGCTCTTCGTGTCCATGCTCGAGACCTTCGGGTCCGAGGACGATGACAAGATGATCTTCAAGACAGGTGAGGCCCCGAGCGCTTCCCGCGTCCGAGGCACGAGCCGTGGGTCTGCCCGCGCGTGCCCAGCCTGCCGCCCGCGGGGCCCGCGTGTGCCGGACTTGGCGTGGGATCCAGACGCAGGCGCGACGCGTATGGAAATGGGTCGCAGAATGTGCTGTCCAGGGCTTCCTTCTTTGCTCAGCAGAATGGGCGCCAAGGTGCACAGGACTTTCTACTAAGGTTGGAAAACAGCCTCCCTACACCATTGTGTGGATAGTCTCTTTCCTGACCACTGGCGTTGGACGGTCCATCTGTCTCTGGGCTGCAGAAGGGTGTCGTGTATATTGGGGAACCACGCGGGAGTTTGGCAAAATGAGAAACGTATCCCAAGGTCATAGGGAGTGACGAGGGGAGCCGTTGGAGAGCCACCCCCCCCCCCGTGCTAAATATAGAAGCATAGGAGGTAGCAGAGTCGGAGCTAGGGGACTGGGAGGAGGAAGGTTCGGGTGGCCGCTGCCTGTTGTGGTCTTTGACGTTTTCTATCATGCGGTAAAGTACAAGCCAAAGGCGCAAACTCAGCATTTTCCCCTGTAGAATGCCCGTTACCTACTCTTGACTGGGTAGGAGGAAAAAAGGTGTTAGGACCTGTGTATAACACTTTCACTTGAATCATTTCACCTCATCCTGCAAAGCAGGTGTTGCCAGCTCCATTCGGGAGAGAAAACTGAAGCTTAATGAAATAGAGTAGCACAATGGAGATAGAACACACATCACCTGCCTTCAGGGGCTAAGTGATTGCCATTACTAAGTCAGTCTCCGATGCTATTCAGAGAACTTTATAGGATTAATAATCTAATTAAGGTTTTAAAATAAAGTTTTAAACTCTAACTTTCTATTTTGTTGAGCGAATATTTTTTAAGTCTTTAGTATGCATACAAAGAATAAGCAAGACTAAAAATTCTAAGACAAAGGTAATGTTGAGGGTGTAACAACCTTATGACAATAGTGTTATGCTATTTGTATCATTCTGCACACTACTTCTATTCTGCATCATGTTTAAGATTTATCCACATAATACTTCAAATTCTTATTTTAACTTAATTTGATTTTCATTATATGGATATATTTTACTTTATGCGTCGTTCCTTTAATAGACATTTAGACTGCCCCAAACTTATTATAAATAATGCTGCAATGGATATTCTTGTACATTGTCTCCTTGTGCATATGAATCACATTCCATGTTTAACCCGAATTTCTGTTCCCGGAATATATACTATTGAAGCTGTCCTGTTGTACACATCAGAGTTAGATACAGAAGTGTTAAAAATGTAGTTATATGTCCTTTTAAGGATGGCAACCCCTGTAAATATCAGTAGGCTGTTACATATGTATATACAGTAATACAAAAAATTTTGTATCTTTTCTATATAAATATTGAGTATCTGGGAGGAAAAGCTCAAGTAGGCAAAAGTGATGGTTAATTTTTTTCTTGCTGATTCCCGGGACTGACATTCCCCAGCCTCAAGTTAACCCTTTAAGACTAGTTTCTGTACCATTTAACCTATTTTATCTGGGGTCACAGGGTTTTTGTTTGTTTGTTTGCTTTTTAAGACAGAGTCTCACTATATAGATCAGACTAGCCTTAAACTCATTGTGTAGAATAGGCTGACCTTGCACTCACAGTGATCCTCCTGCCTCAGCCCCCAGGATTCTAGGATTATGTGGAATTACAGGCACGAGCTACTTAACCTGGTGAAGGTGAGGTTAGTCTCCTCTTGTTTGTTTTTTCAAGTCAGATTCTCACTGTGTAGTCCAGGCTGGCCTTGAATTCATGGTGATTCTCCTGCCTCACCCTCCTGAGTACTGGGATTATAGGTATGTACCACCATGTCTGAAAGTCAGCAGCATTTTCTAAATGTGACAGATACCTGAGATCATTAGTGTATAAAGGCTAAAGGTTTATTTTGCCTCACAGTTTTGGAGGCTCCTGTCCACCACAGGTGGACCCTGTTGCTTTCCGGCCTGTGGTGAGGCAGCACACGGCAGCAGCATGTGCACAGCGGAGCCATTCACCTCGTGGTCTACTGAAGAGATGCCATGTTCCCCCTTGAGGGCATGATGTCAGTAACCTAAGACTTCCCACTAGACCTGTCTCTTAAAGGTTCCACCATCTCCCGCTATCTCCAAGCTGAGTGCCACATTTTTAACACATGGGCCTTTGGCAGATGTTTCAGATCCTAACTGCAGCAGTGAGGCAAAGGAGTAGAACTCTTGAATTTTGTTTTCAGTTTTGATGAATGTTTTTCTTCCTTTACTCAATTTATTCCTTGACACGTCTCTTAGTTATATTAGTGATGCTGTCATACAGACAGTTGTAGAAGTATGCCAGTTAAATGTATGAAGATCTTTGTGACTACCATGTCGGATTTTGCCCCAACTAGCTTGTGATCTGCATATCCTTTGTCTGTTACCTACAAAGGAGTCCTGTGTGCTTGTAATGGCCTCGTATCACTCTGCAGCTGGGCTGAACAATAGTTTTTACTCAAGTGCTAGGTAATGCATATGTAACTAATACGTTTTTAGGGCTGAAAAATAACCAATCTCAGTTGTGAAAAAATGGTTATAGTCTTTGAACAAGTTGTCATAGAGATCTCTCTTTCACTCTCTGCATACGGACTCTCACTTGCTCACATCACACATGGTTCATCAGATCCTTTTACCTACAGGAGGCACTCAAGTATTTGTGAATACTTGCTTTGGTTTTTTTGCCAGTGAATCAGGGCCTTATGCATGCTAGGCAAATGTTCTACCTTTAAGCTACGCCCATATCCCCAAACTGCTTTGAAATTTGCTTGTGTTTCTTTAACTTTGATATTCTAATGCTGAGTCGTCTATGATCAAATATGTGCAAACTGCAGGTACAACACAGATTGTCTTGAATTTGTTTAAGGCTTTTATTTTTCAAAGTTTTGATGTATTGTATTATTCATGACCTGGTCCTGAAGGGCAGTTAGTTCTGTCTCTTTGTTTTCAGCAGCTTATTTATAGTAATTGATTGGCCCAGCAATACATAGAGAGACGGAGGTGGAATGGGAATGTAGGTCTCCAAATGATTGTGCACATTTTTTGAGCACTTCCTGTGGCTAAAGGCTTTCATGCATTTCCATTTAAGCCTTACTGCAACCCCTCAAGATAGACTGTAGTAGTGTCTTTCTTTTCAAATGTGCAAACTCAGGCTCACAGAGTTGTAGTAGGCAAAGGAACCAGATTTCAACCTCAGATTTATTTGACTCCAGGAGTTGGGTTTTTAACCACTGATCATCTTGTACTGGTTAAATAATATTATAAAAATCTGTTAATTTTTGACTAGTGATTGTTTGAGTATTAATACTAGACAGTCTGTCTGGGATTACAAAGAAGCCTGAAATATTCTTTACTTTGTGGGCAAGAAATAATTTCCAATTATTAATGTTTCACTGAACGAGGGCTTTGAAATCTAGAGGGACTTTTTATAAACACGATACTTGATACAAACATGGTATTTAAGGAAAGATCTTGGGCTTCCTTTGAAGAACCACACTTCTTAGGCTTGATGCATAGTTGTACAGTGCTTGCCTGCAGGAGCTTTCCCCCTAGAGGAGCTTTTTGGTGTCTCATTATGTATTTGAGCCTGGCCTCTATCTCAGCATGTGACCCAGACTGGCCTCAGACTCATAGTAATCTTTCTGCCTCAGTAGTGCTGGGATTACAAGTATGCACCACCATGGCTGACTTTATCTTCTTGATACAGTGCCATGGCACAGTGAGATCTTGGCTAGGGCATTAATCTCTTTGTACTCTTGTACCTTATTCCTGGAGAGACAATTTTTAAACTGGTTATACAGAGGATTTGATTTCGTTTTGGCAAATTTGTACATTCACATGCATGCTTTGTTCATTTTAACCCCCTCCTTAACCCCCTGCCTTGGCTTTCAACTTAGGTAAGTAGATTCACATATTTTGTGGGGGTGGTCACTGCATATATTTTGGTCATGTCCAGCACACTATTCCCTGCCCTTGCTTTCCCTCTCTTCTCCCTTATTCTCTTCCTCTTGTCTAACTATGGTCTCCCTTCTACTTTCTTGTCATCTTTTATGGATTCCACATATTAAGGTGAAGGTGTGGTATTTATTGAGAAAGACAAATATTTTAATGGTACATTTGACTTTTAAAAAAATACCAATTTTAAACAAGTCTGTTTTTAGAATCAATAGTTAGGACTGTTAATGATGACTCTTTTGAAGAAATTCCCATGTCTTCATGGTTAAGAGACTTGGTTAAGAAAGTTTTTATTTTAGTAATTCTAAAAATGTGTTCTGAAATTGCCTTTCTTTAAAGTGGAGGTCTGTGGGAAATAGGAAATATGGGAAATAGTGCATACTACAGTCCTCCCTTCGATATTTAAATTAAAAAATCTAGATATTAAAGTTAAATTTAAAAGAAAGCTTGACTACCAAAAAGATCCTGAAAGAGAGGCTGTTGGCCACCGTCTTTCCTTTATTGGTGACATTACAGTGAGAGTCATGAATTAGATCTCTGTCTCTGTCTGTCTTCCAGTCTCTTCCTCCCTCCTCCCTCTCTTATTGGCAGTACTGGGGACTTGAACCAGAGCCTTGCCCAGAGCTACATACATCTCAAGGCCTTTATTCTTTGAGACAAAGTTTTGTTAAGTTGGTAAATTCTCAGACTGGACTTAAATTTGGGTCCTTCTTGCTTCAGCCTCCCGGAGTGCTGGGATTACAGGTGTTCACCACCACACCCAACTGTGAAGGATTTTTGGTAGCATTTAGGGGCAAATAGTAATCTTGCAACATTTCTCATTGTATTTTACCAGCCTGTCTGAAACTTCAGGTCAGTTAGTGCCTCTCAAAAGTTTGCTTTCTTTCCACATGTTTATGTTTATGATTATATTGCTACCTCCTACACTTTTCCTGAGAAGGCTTAGGTCTTTAAAAACTGCTGAAATAAACTGGCAATAGAGT